GGAAGATAGACAACAATTCCCTCACTCTCAAGTCTTGCAGTAGGCAGTGATATCCCATTCCTTGGCGGTAATAAGAGGAAGAAAGATAACAGCATCCATTCTTCGAATGTCATGATTTGCAGTCCATGACATATGAAACCTTACCCAGGTCACCACATACTTCATAACAAGTTTATGAACAAGTGCTGTATCCATGACCTCTCCGTGCTATGTAACTGTAAAGGGCACTTCATTTCAATGTCCTAGGGTGTAGACTCACAGCTGTGATAAAAGCTGAAATGGTGAAACTTGTTGAGAATTTTTTGTAGTCATAAATACTGACGATGGGCCTCTCAACTTTGCTTTCAGCATCGCCATGTGGACCTCACAGCTAGTCTGGTTTAAAGTGTCTTTTCTCCTCCTCACATCGGCCAGAGGATAGGGAAGCTTCCTTTTGATCCGTTGCCTTGAGTAGTCTAATCTGTTAGCCTCATGAATTTGATCCTTGCTCTTTCTTATTGCACGGCATTAGATAGCTAAAAGAAGAATTCAGCAGTGTGTTTGACTATCACAACATAGCAAGTACTGCTGCAAGACAGCTCAGCATTGTAGTCATAAAAATCACATAAAGCATGAACATCAGATAAAGAACATTCTGTTTTCACATCTTAGTCTGTTGTTTCAGGCATTTTACAGACTAAAGAAGCTTCTTCCATCAGTTAATCTCTTAGTTGATGTGAACTAAGTCTTTTCTTTGGGAGCTTAAATATACACGTCCACTCTAGTGCATGTATACTCCTCGTGGTCCAGCAGGATGTCATTGCTTTACAGTACCTATTGGAGTGGTCCCAGCTGCCACTAGGCAGCACTCCCAGCAATGCCCAGCTCTTCCTTGTTAATTACTGTAAATATTAATTGCCCTTTTTATACAGTTAGCAAGCAGTGGGTTGTTGAATGATAAAATATTTTGAGAAGGTTGCATTTACTTTCTTTTGGGAGATGCTTCCTTTGACTTTTAAGCTGTAACAATAATTATGTAGCTGACAGAACTTGATTTTCACATTTCAAAAACTATCCCTTATACAAGACAGTGGTGTTCAAGTTCACAAGATGCGTTCTCTGCTCAGAAGAGGGGCATGTTGCACCTATATGATGTTCTTCAGCAAGTCTGAAGAAAGCAAGTCTAGAGTGAAGGAGTTGCTCATGGAGAAGTATATAAATTTGGCCTTTGCTGGCTCTCCTGTTGCCAGCCACAGTGATTTTGTCCCCCTGGAAATGCTCCTGCAACCATTTACTCCTCAACAGTTACAAAATTACAAAAAGATACAATTCAAAAGGGAATTCCACACAACATTTGGAAAAAAATCTCTTCCTCCAGGAAATAACTATTCCAAACCCTTTTAAAACCTTCTTGCTCTTCATAGTAAAAGTGGCTTTCCTTTGAAAAGGACTCCTCAACTTTTATGTACCATATGGTCAAAAAAAAATCCTATAATCATCATAATGTCCATTTTATCACAGTCTAGGATAATCAAATCAAGAGAGCTAATGCTACAGATCTTAGTATCATCTTCAGTGGCAGAATTTTCAGCAAACCCAGTCTTTCCTATACCAGTCCTTTCAGAACAAATGAGGCTTGTACAGTTAACCGCATCAGGCTCCCTAGCAGCAGAAGCCACTGTATCATGCCAGTCCCGAATGCCAATTTGCATGATTGTTAGACAATCACTCTGGCAGCTGTCAGAGACTTATTAGTTTCTGCTCTGTCAGTTATTTCTGCGTTCTTCTTGCTGGATCCTGCCATAAGCACAAACTTCAGATCTGTCAGTGGTATTAGTGAAGAAATTAACCCAAGAGGAATGCAGACCAGCACTTCTCTTTCATTACCTTCAGAATGCACAGGCTCAGTAGAGGGCAGTGAAGAAATTTCACCATCCAAATGATGGCTCAGTCCACAGTGCAAGTAAGGAGCAGGGCCCTACTGATGATAAGGCAGTCTTTTCCCTGTGAGCCACTGCACTGGCTTTTATCTAGTGCAGATCTTCACTGGCTGAGGTGTAGATTCACATCACTATAACCATTCAGAAAAGTTGCTGCAAGCACTGCAGCATCTCAAATCAAGAACATAATCAGAAAACCATACAGAGACATATACGTATTCAGAAACACAACTGTTTGCTGGAGCACCTCTCCTATGAGGACAGGCTGAGAGAGCTGGGGTTGTTCAGCCTGGAGAAGAGAAGGCTCTGGGGAGATCTGATTGTGGCTTACCAGTACCTGAAGGGGGCCTACAGGAAAGATGGTCAGGGACCGTTTCCAAGGGCAGGTAGTGACAGGACAAGGGGTCATGGGTTTAAGCTGAAGGAGGGTTGATTTAAATTAGATGTTAGGAAGAAATTCTTCCCTGTGAGGGTGGTGAGGTACTGGAACAGGTTGCCCAGAGAAGCTGTGGATGCTCCATCCCTGGAAGTGTTCAAGGCCAGGTTGGCTGGGGCTTTGGGCAATGTGGTGTAGTGGAGGGTGTCCCTGCCCATGGCAGGGGGGTTGGAACTAGGTGGTCTTTGAGGTTCTTTCCAACCCAAACCATTCTATGATTCTGTGATTTCAGATTACTGTTTATATTATTGTCTTCCCCAGATGGGGCTATAATCCTACAAATCCTTTTAAAACTGTAATTTTAATATTTTTTTTTAGAAAAGTTTTTTATTGAAGAAAACTTTAGAAGGCTGTCAGATGTTATTTCAGTACCTGGATTGAGGACTTCCATGTATCAAATATTGCTGGGTTCGATACAGCTGCTTTACAGTCCTGTATCACTTAAGCATCAGCTTAAAAAGAAAAAAAAAAGTTGACATACCTACTACAGTCACAGAAGAGCTGGAAGCTTTTTGTTTGTCCATTTTGTTGAAGACAAAAGACAGTGTCACTTTTTTTAGGGGGAAAGGCTATTTCACTGTCCACTTTTAAACCTGAATTACAAGTTGCAAACTGATTAATCTATGTATTTATTGCTTGAATTTGCATTGTAGCAAACTGCATAGTTTGCGCTGTGTAGATAGCAAGGAGGCAACTGTGTGCAGCAGGTACAACCTCCACATCCCCAGTAACCGCTTTAGTTATATGCAGGATCTGCTGCCTGTGTGTTCTCACTATCTCTAGTTTTAGTGCAAAATACAGTTGTGGAATTTGGGGTGTAATTTGTTGTAGGTTACAGAAAAGTAACGGAGAGTGGTAGTAATTCACATCTGTAATAGATCTTGTGGATGGCAAGGAGAGTAGTAAATGCCTTTTTAATGGCACTTTAATCCTTCAACTCTAATCAGCCTTGGAGTACTCTGACCAGTCACAAGGTCATGCACTTTGAAGGAAGTTGTGAACCCATCAGATGGTCATGCGTGGAAGTGCAAAGGAGATTTCTGGAAAGAAGATAGGAATAATGTCTCCATGGTACAAAATATAATTGTCTTTATTAATATAGCACTCAAACTGTAATGACATTCTAGTTACAAGTACAACTGTCTAATGATATTAAGTATTGCAGTAGATCAGTGAGGATTGTGAACCTCTCTGAAAGAGGCTTAAGTATATCTGTTGTAGTTCGCAAACTTTGGAAAGTTAGGTCACCTACTCTCCTTCCTACTACCAGAAGAATACCATTTATAAGTCACAAGCAACAACATATATTTGTACAAATGTGCAAAGAAAAAGCAGCAGTCGCCTCACCTGTAAAATAATGTTTTCTGTGAACAGCCGCTCTGACCCTCACCCATCCTTTGACCATGTGCAGTCTGAAAGCTGCTATGGGGAAGCAGCTAGAAGGTGGCTGGAGCATTCCTGTAGCTTCCTATTAAAGACTGACTGAGAGTACAGGTGCTGCCTTTACACATATTGCTGACCAGAAGTTTCCAGCGTGGGTGTATTTTCTGAGTACACACAGGCTGTACAGCAGAACAAATAGGTACTTCTCGGAGTTAACAGGTAGACAAACATTGTTTAAGCCATAAAATATGTGCTGAGTTCTCAGCTAGAAGTGCAAAATTATCTATGTTGTGATGTTTCTATGATTGGTCTTATTAGCATCGTTTAGCAGTTAGGGTATTTCTTGTGTGCATTGAAATGATATTCTTTCAGCTGTGTGTTCCTGTAGTGCTCAGAATTTGAAAGAAGAAAATTCTTTTTGTTTTGAAAACAGTACTTTATTCTTTGAAGGAGAGCTAGTATGTAAAACTTGCATGTGAAACAGTATTTGAAAGTTCTCTTAATCTTCTTGTAGGCCATAGAAAAACATCTCATCAGAAAATCTAATGGAGGACTGACCTTCATCGGGGAGTGGAAGAATGGGCACCTTGAAAGGAAGATGGGCCATTTGACCTGTTTTGCAGGGGGAATGTTTGCCCTTGGAGCAGATGGTTCCAGAGATGATAAAGCTGGACATTATTTGCAACTTGGAGCTGAAATTGCACATACGTGTCATGAGTCGTATGACAGGACAAGTAAGATATATTGCTAATCTAATTATTTCAGTGGTTGAAATATAGAAATTGTTGTAACTCTTTTTAAGATTTGTTGTGGACCTATGCCTTGTCTAATATGCACTGTTTTTATACTAGTATAATTTTTTTAACATTCATGTATTTACTTCTGACCTACATCATGATGAGTAAATGTAAACCCAGACTTTATATGATTCCTTCCTGCCTGTTTATTTTTGGATCAGTCAGCTAAGGTAGGTTATATGGGTGCAG